CCAGTCCCTGGAAACCACTAATTGACTTTCTGTTTCTGTGGATTTGCTTATTCTGGACATTGCATATAAATGGAATCATACAGTATGTGGCTCCTTTCACGTAGCATATTTTCAAGGTTCATCTATCTTAGCATATTTTCAAAGTTCATCTATGTTGTAGTATGTATCAGTTCTTTATTCACTTTTACAGCTGAATAATTTCCACTGTATAGATGTTTATTTACGCATCATAGGATGAACATTTGGTTGTTTTCACTTTTTGGCTACTATGCATAATGCTGCTATGAACTCTTGTTATGAGTTTTTGTGTGCACATATGATTTCATTTCACTTGGGTTATACCTACGAATGGAATTGCTGGATCATATGGCAACTCTAGGTTTAACTTCTGAGGAACTGGCGGACCATTTTCCACAGTGGCTGCACCATTTCACGTTCCCACCAGCAGTGGATGAGGTTCCATTTTCTCCACATCCTGACACTTTTTATTCACCTGTCTTTTTGATCACAGCCAGCCTAGTGGATGGAAAGTGATAACTCACGGTGGTTTTGACTTATCTGCACTTTCCTAAAGAATAATAATGTTGGTGTGTTTGTTGGCCATTTATTTTTCTCTGGAGAAACATTTATTCAAATCTTTTGCACATTTTTAAGCCAGGCTATTTGTCTTTTTATTCTTGATTTGTAAGAGTTCTTCATATATTGGATACAAGTCTCTTATCAGATATATGATTTACAAATATTTTCTCCCATTCTGTGGGTTGCCTTTTCACTTTCTTGATGACACCCTTTGAAGCACAAAATTTTAATTTTGATTAAGTCTAGTCTATCTATTCTTTCTTTGGTTGCTTGTGCTTTTGGTGTCACAGCTAAGAAATTATTACCTAATCCAAGGTCATAAAGATTTACTAACATGTTTTAGGTCTCTGATCCATTTTGAGTTAATTTTTGTATATGGTGTGAGGAAGGGTTCCAAACTCTGTTGCATGTGGCTGAATATCCAGTTGACCCAGTGTAACATGACATTTTCTTTTTTTTTTTTTCCTTAAAAGATGACCAGTAAGGGGATCTTAACCCTTGACTTGGTG